TGGGGAGCACAGCCAGTAGCCTTACTCCTTTTATTCCAAACTTGGCACACACAGAAAGCCACAACATTTTTGTCTGAAGATCATTGTTCTTTACCTAGGCCAAACAAATGTGGTGTAGTGTCCCTGGACATAGGCATGGAGAGACGCAGAGAACTCCAGATCCAGAAGTAATGCACTGAAAATGTTTCATTTCATTCAACTGTCTCGATTAGTAAAACACCTCTTTCCTTCTGAGGCTGATGTCATATCTTAAACTATTTTCTTGATGAAGTGCTTTCAGAAAACATTTATTACAGTATCCATATTTCTGTGATTTCATTTTTTTTCCTCCTGGACTCTGTTACTACATTTCTCATTACACATTGTGAAAATATTTGTAGAGATTGTTTATTGATAGGAAAACTTCTTCCGAGCAAGCTGGGTGTGTTGGCACGTGTCTGTGTTCAGAAGGAGTTGGTGAGTTGAGTCCAGTCAGCACCAGTACTGTTTCCAAAGATTTGAAAAAGTAATAATGTACTTAATGTTTAAGAGTTTGGGCAGTACATCTCACTTCTAGTAAAAAGTTTTATAAGACTTCAGAGCGTTTTTAAAATGTATCCAAAAAATATAATCTACTTCAAGGGCTATTACCTAGAAATAATATTAAAGCATTTAATTCTTTATGCTGCTGCTTCATTGTACAACGGGGTTTTTTATTTCTTTGCTTTTTCTGATTCAGATACAAGACATCAGCAGCCTAAGCAATTACTCTCTGCAACTACTTTGTAATATGCAGTAGATACATTAAAAAAAAAAAAAAAAAGTAATTGAAGTACAGCTTAATGTCAATCACAATCTGTGCCACCGAGAGCTGATTCCTGGGGGCAACTGGCTTGATAAAAGCATTTGCATGCATAAGTTCCTGCAGTGATGCACCGCACTGAGCAGACACCAAAGAAATTAAGTCTGGACTGAGGGAAGAAGAGAGGTCTGAAAATGCTGCCAAGCCGCAGGCTGCCTCACGTAGCACACAACTGAGGAGAAGGAACTGCAGAGAAGAATTGTGAGCTGGTGGTGTCTTTGGGTGTCTTGCATTAGCGCCTTTCATTAGTGAGTCTCTGTTGTTTTCAGTTCTCTCAGCGCCTTCCTTTAAAATGCAATGTGGCTAAAATGCAATAAATGCAAAATATCCTTGTATTTTTTTAGTGTTTTAACTGAAATATAGTACATATTACAATTCAAATAAAGTTTCAAATATGAAAGGTTATTCTTTGTGAAACCCTGTATTTTGCAGTTAAAGGAGAAATCCAACTCACTTTTCCTTTGGCTACAGGATTTTATTAACCTTTTAACAGTTTTGTTTTACATAATAAATAAGCAAAATGCTTTACATTTTTAGGGAATACATATATAATTCTGAGCATTAATAGGTTGTTTGTTTTGCGTGCTTTTTCACCTACATTTGCCAAATAGCTTTTATCTGCATCATATAAAAAAAGCAAAATCTAATGTTCAGGAAAAAAAATGGAATAATAAATTTTTCTCTGAGTTGTTTCTGAAGTGTGATGAGCGTTGAAAAAATATGTGGTATCTTGTTTTGTGATTTTTAGAGAAATACTTGCATTCTGGAACGTTCCCCATTCATTTGCACTTTATCTGCGTGATATATTCTCCAATCTTACACCTATTCTCCAATATTCCACTGTGCTTAATTTCATTAAATTACTTTTATAACCGTCTTCAAACTATAGGACTACTTCAACCTCAGGGAGAAGTTTGTTTCCCTTGTCACTTTATTTACATTGCAGTGTTTCTGTTATTAATAGGATAAACATTTTGAGACCTCGGTGTGGGATTAATGTTTCCAGCTTTGTATTTTGGTGAAATATTCCCTCCCTCTCTCTCACTCTCCAGAATGGTTCCTTGCTAGTCTGAACTCCCCTAAGTGTTAAAATCCTATCAAGTTGCATGACAGAGGTATCTACATAGCCTCAAACAAGTACGGCAGAGAAAAACGAGGTTATTTTTCATAATATATTCCAATTCACACTCCACTTGTGTGACATAACTTTTTCCAATTATTGAGAACATTGCCACTGTCAATGGCTGTGCCACATGCTGCAGGACCAGTGTGC